CACGCTTGGATAGGCGATATAAAAATGATATTTGTTTGTTTATTTATTTATTTATTTATTTATTTTTAAGTCCGGCCGGCCCCACTAGCGCATAAGCTTCTTTTATGCTTATACTTATGCTTATGCTTATGCTTGCATCATAAGTTGGGACCGGACTCAAATAAATATAAACCTCGGGGTATTTTTCATTTCAAATAGAAGATGGTTTTCCATGTTTTCAGTAAGAACACAATGCACGCTTGAGTTTTAAAGAAGCCGTTCGTCAACGCATGAGCGGAACTTGATAATTAAATCTGGACAAGGGGCATTGTGCGTACGCGCTGGCGGCGCATGAAACATCCGTCAATCAATCAATCAATCAATCAATCAATCAATCAAAACTTTATTTATCGAGGGTGACACGTAATAGTTTATCAACTAATAAATTTGTGGCCCTCTTAAATGTACTGAAAGTTAAAAATCTACTATAAACAATAATCAAAGATTATCACTAAAATATCGCAATCTAAAAGTTATTATTTAAAAAAGGAGTAAACATCTTATTCTTGAGCTGACTTAATTTAAAATGTTTGTACAAAGCGTTCTTAAGGATATTTACAGATGAAGTTTTTTTTTTCCAACCAATTTCTTTAACCTTTAAGAGCTTCGAGAACGTGTCGTTATTGCATGGGTTTCACGTGGTGTTAATGTAACTTCTTATAACTAGGGTAATAAACAAGGACTCGTCCACCTAGGCCAGAGCAAATTGAAAACAGCGTTTTAACTCTGAAGACGCATCAAATGTATTCTGTCCACACTACGCTGGATAAATTTGAAAACGCACCAATTTGGCCGCCATTTTGGATTTGTGTTTGAAGAAAAGACTCGAGTAGGGAAATCACACGTTTGTCGTGCGTCATCGATTTTTTGTGTCCACACTACAACGCAAAGCTGGGATTTTCAAATTTCTCCGGATTGGAGAACGTTTTCGAAAAGCTCCGTTTTCAGTGGACATTTTCTTCGGTTTAGTGTGGACAGAGGCCTAACATTGTAAATAAGGCTGCAGTTTTCAAACTTCTTCAGCATAGTGTGGCCACAGGGCTTAAGGGTGGCTTGAAGGTTCAACTTGTGTAGTTATGGCTAGCTTTGGTCAATAAAAACTACAGTTAGAGACTGCTCTAAATTCAAACTCGGTTATTTCAAATTCTCCAATATTGCAAACTCAATCCTTTGGATTTACACTTGATTTCTCAGTTGTTTACTGTAGAGTATTTCAAACTTGGTTACTTTGGAAGTGATTTCTGTTTCCTTTTGCTTAAAGTCAACCCATCTACTTTGAACTCCATTGTTGGAGTTTAAAATTTAAAAATGAACATCCTGCCATCAGTCCATGTTAGAACATTGCAGGAAAACTACAATTTTGGGCTTTTCATTTTTTGCTTTATCTTGTACTGTGACAAATTTGTTCTCTTCTGGTGCCTGTTTCCCGAAAGCCCCAGAAACTTTTCAGGCCCGTAAAGCCATAGCAAAATCTGGAACCTTACGATTACTGAGCTGTTTTATTCACATATTCTTAATATGAAGAGAAGTTCCCTTCATACAAGAAGTTTCAGGCATATACACTTCTCCGTTTTTAGATACAGATGGACTAAAAATGGCTTTACAGGCCCGAAACTTTTCCCGGGCTTTCGAGAAACAGGCCCCTGGCCTTTGGTTAATAAAGGAGACGCTCTTTTTCAGATATTTGCCTTTCTATAGCTCATGTACACCTGTGTAAACTTAATATATATAACTTTTGCATGTTCCTGTATTGTGCCAGCAATCCGCTCCCAACTTCCAACCGATGTTGACTCAGCAGTCAGTATAGTATATTATAATAATTATTGTAATATTATTTACAGAAAATGTGTTCAGGGAATTTTTGTTTCAATTCCTGCCAAAATCATCTCAGTGGTTCTATACCATGACTTATATTCACAACCCACAAATCTGTACAGCAAATGCCCATTCAGCTGCAATCATTAACAGTCTGTACATGTACGTGTGTGTTAGGCGTCAGTCATGACCTTCACTGAAATACTCTTACATTTTGGTTATTGATATAAATTTTGTAGTGTTTAATTTGGAGAATACTGGTGACACTTGGTTTCTGTTTCCAGACATTATGATGATGTCCACTAAATTGATCAGGAATATTTTAAGCATTCCTAAATTGTTGCGAGCTTCTTCCTTTTCCTGTTCACGCTGTCTTGACAACCAGGTCAGTGGCAGCTTGATACTCTATGTACACCCAAAGAAATCGTCACTGAAAAAGTGATCTGATTAGCATTGGCACCTCTAGCTTAGGGTTAATTGTGCATTGTTTATTGTACATGTATCATATATTTGTAGCTAATGTGTATACAAACATTTAAAGTTGCAGTTGTAGGTCCTTACAGATTTCACTTTAGTTGGCAATCTTCCATTTACAAGTGCTCCCTTAAATTCACTGAAAATGAGCTGCTTTTACTCACCATAATTAAAGCAAACTATATATTGCTCACTTGCAGTCAGGTGTTTCCATTTTTTCTCTTCTTTTTTGAACACAGATAAAAGAAGAAACAGCAAAATTAGTAGAACTGAAGAAGAAAATTGATAATGATCAGGGGAGCCAGAAGTTTGTCCTTAAGACACCAAAGGTATGGTCATTCAAATAAAGGGAAAATTGTTTAAAGAATATCTTCAAGCTTCTCAAAAGAAGCTTGTTTACTGATAAAGACTTCGGAGATTTAAATAACATAAAACTTTCATTCTGATGATTCAGCTCTACGATAACAGGGCGTGAATAAAGTGCTGTCCAGGACAATTATTAGATTTTTCTCCTGGGCAAGTAATTTTTCATTCTCATCAATACACAAATTATACCAGTGTCCTGTTAATGTTTGGAGCATTTGTTATTGATTATGTCTGGGAGAGTAGGAGCGAAAGTTATACTGCAGGGTTTTATGGGATTTATTAACCCATGACAAACTCTATATCAGACTTTCGAACATGAGCACTGTGCAGGGGCACTGTGTCATAGTTAATAATTATGTGTTAATTCAAAATTTAAATATTCTTTTCAAAAAACATCATTAAATGCATCGTAATTCATGCACATCTGTACATGTTTTGTTATCTCTTTGTGTTTGCAGGGAACTCGGGACTATGCCCCAAAGCAAATGGCTGTCAGAGAGAAGGCATTTAAAGCAATCATCAGTTGTTTTGAGCGACATGGTGCTGAGCAGATTGATACTCCAGTCTTCGAAATGAAGGTGCAGTTATCTGTTTAGAGGTCATTAACATATATAATTCCCAATTGCCACACTGCATGTCCACTGCCAGACATTTACATGGTTAGGGTTAAGGAGAGTCTAAATTTGGCATTGTGTGGTGGCATTTGGGGCAATAGCTATTGTGGTCTTGCGTATTTTTGCTGGATATTTTGTGGGTAACATGTAAGTTATTTCCCACACCATTGTTGTAGATATCTGGCTCACCACAGGACCAATAGTAACCCTGGTTTTGCTGGGGGACAAACTCCTTCGCCAGCCCAGATCCAGTCATCTGGTTTGGTTTCTGGTTTTTTACATTTACCTCATTCTATGGTTTGATTACTTTCAAATGTTTATGATTCAGATCAAGAGTACCTCTTTGAATACTGGGCTGTGTTGTTCAACAGCTGGTTAATGCTAACCCAGGATTAAACATGAACCAAAGTATTTAATTTTTCAATTGTATGACAATGTTTGTCAGTGTCTATGTTTTGTGTAATTTGAGACTTTTTAAATTCAAAACTGAAGGACAGACAATATGAACAGAAAACCTTACCGAAAATTCTTGCTAAACCTGGGTTAGCTTAATTGGGCTTTGAACAACAGGCCCTTGACAATTTTAGAGCAAGGAAGTATCTCTGTGTTTTTAAAACTATCATAATCAGTTAGACAAGGTGTCACCTTTAACAATGCTAAATAATTTAATGTGGACTTAAAGCTCAGTTGAAATGCTGCTCCAAACTTGTGCCTGATTTACTGTGTGTTTTCAGCAGTGCATTCTAATGCTTAAAGATTTGTTTAGATCTAAATGCTGAGTAAAATGATGTTGTGTGTTAGTTTAGCAACTTCTAACATTCACAGTTCATTTTCATGTTTTCCTTTTGTTTGTAGGAAACATTAACTGGAAAGTATGGTGAAGACTCCAAATTAATCTATGATCTTGCTGACCAAGGAGGAGAGTTGTTGTCACTAAGATATGACTTGACAGTATCCTTAAGGTGTAGAAATAAATAAATAAATAAATTAATTAATTAATAAGTGTAATCCTTAAGGTGGAGAAATGATGTTTTACTTGATGGATGTACTTGTCATTAAAAATTTATTATTTGGCCAATAGTGAATGGTGAATGATATCTTGTAAAACTTTTGCATTTTATATGTTGTCGTCAAGTTTGTGCTGGATCAAATTGCAGCTGAATACAATAACAGCATAGTTTATATTGTTGAAACAAAAGGGAAGAGTATTTATTTACTGGTAATGATTTCTCAAAATGGTCTGATTGTTATAGGAAGGACCAGCTTGTTATGTCATAAACCAGAGGTCAGTAAATTGGCTTATCATATGTGATATCAAATCTGCCCTCTACCATAATTTATAATTTCTTTTTCGCAGTAACATTTTAGATACCTTAACAGTGTTTTCAGGTGCCATTTGCAAGATATGTTGCAATGAATAAAATTGAAAAAATCAAAAGATATCACATTGCCAAAGTATACAGGCGAGACAACCCAGCCATGACAAGGGGACGGTACAGGGAATTTTACCAATGTGTAAGTCATGAGCTTTAGATTGCTTTACACATCACGGGAAGCTTTATGCCTAGCCAGCCCACCATAACACAAAACAAAATTGTTCAAATCGAAATTCATTGTTCAGTGAAACAAAGGAAACACAAAAGTTTTTTTTTTGTTTCACGTTTGACAGAAAGATGCCACTAGGAAAACCGACTTTTTTTGCATACATGTACGTTATATCTCAAAAACGAAGCAAAATCTAGCAACAAAAAAAATACCACGGGTTTGTTTAGGTGTGTTAAGCAATGTCCAGTTTTGGCAATGTTCAATTTTAGCCAAAAATCACTAAATACCCGTTTTCCACCAAGGCTTTTTTTATTTTAAGAAGCCTTGGAGCCAAATGGCTCATAGCTGCTGGAGCTTATCCCAGTTTCTGTAGCATGAAGGAGCTAGGAGTACTTCTACTCCCCCTGAACAGGATGCTAGTCCAGCACAGGTCACTCCCCCGCAGTTTGTTAGGTTTCTCCAACAATTTGCCAGTACCCATTTATACTCCTGGGTAGAGCAACATGTAAAAATAAAACAATAGGCCATCTCCAAGTTTGCACCTACCTCTGCCCCAAAATGAGTCCCCATTCCAAGGTGTTGCCTATTAGTAACTATTTTATACCATGCCATAGAAAATACAGTGGCAAACACAATCAGTGCAACATATGCACGGGGCACATTGGGAAGGGTGTGAAACCACCAAGTATAAAACTGCTTTCCTGTATAATGATTTGCTGTATGTTCTATGCTATGGTATAAATCAATGTATTGGACCTGTCAAACATATTTCATTATACTACAAGGTATTAAAAAAAAAAAACTGCTTGTATTTCCTTTAGGATATTGATATTGCTGGCCAGTATGACGCCATGATTCCTGATGCTGAGTGTGTCAAGATTGTATCAGAAATATTAACAGATTTAAAACTTGGAGATTTCACAATAAAGGTAACTCCTTAGAAGGAATAATGGTGCATTTCACTTGCACTTAGAATTTGTAACTTTTGATTAATTTCAATCAATATTTTTCATTCATTCATTCTGTTTATTTTCCCTTTTATAATGTTAACAACAATTTGTAAAAAAAGCAAAAAAAATTAGGGTAAATAAAGGATGTTGTTGTTGTCGTAACTTGCAGGTTAACCATCGTCAGTTGCTGGATGGTATGTTTGCTGTTTGTGGGGTGCCAGAGGAGAAGTTTCGATCCATTTGTTCAGCCGTGGATAAATTAGACAAGGTAAATTGATTAAGAACTAAGTAAAGCTTCATTCTAAGGAAAAGTTATGTAAAACTAAGTATATTCAGGATAGGTTGGGAAAATAAGTATTGTAATCTGTATTGTCTGAGTCCCAGGGGTACTCCGTTATACGTGCTATATAGGTATGTGCGGTCCCAAAGGGTAAGGTTTTTCAACCATTTTGGTCAGAAATAGGGTATGGTTTTTGCACTCTAGCCTAGAATTGGGTATGTTTTTAGAAAAAGCTACTTTTTCATCATTATTGATAAGACCGTCAACAAAAGCCTTCACAAATTATGTTTACAGCAATTTAAAATTGGTCTGAACTAAGGAACTAATTATAAGGCAGGTCTGAAACAGGGTATTGATTAAAGGGTCAGGTCATAAATAGGGTATCGAATTTTTGGTCAGGTCATAAATAGGATAGGGAAAATTGCAGATTTTGGTTTTAAATAGGGTGAATGTTTTGGGAAGTGGGCCACACACCCCCACCCAATTTTTCTGGAAGTACCCCCCTCCCACCCCCCTGCTGGGAGTCTGAGAAGCGTAAAGATTGGGCACCCTTATTATTCAGTACAGTACTTATTGTTATTGACCTATGGTTTTGATGCTGTCCTGGGCATTACTAATGTAGATGTTTGACAAAGCATTCCTGGACATTCATTTCAATTTCTTTCTTTGGTACTGTAGCTTCCTTGGGAAGACGTGAAAGCAGAAATGGTTGGAGAGAAGGGTTTGGAGCCAAGTGTGGCAGATATGATCGGAGAATACGTAAAACTTAAGGGAGGAATGGAACTTGTGGAACTCCTGACAGCCGATGAAGCTCTTAGCAGCAACAAGAGTGCAAAAGCAGCGCTAGACGACATGAAACTTCTTCTTCAATATGTTGACTTGTTTGCGATTGCAGATAAGGTTAGTTCATCAAGCAAACTCGTCTCCNCCATTTGTTCAGCCGTGGATAAATTAGACAAGGTAAATTGATTAAGAACTAAGTAAAGCTTCATTCTAAGGAAAAGTTATGTAAAACTAAGTATATTCAGGATAGGTTGGGAAAATAAGTTATCTGTATTGTCTGAGTCCCAGGGGTACTCCGTTATATGTGCTATATAGGTATGTGCAGTCCCAAAGGGTAAGGTTTTTCAACCATTTTGGTCAGAAATAGGGTATGGTTTTTGCACTCTAGTCTAGAATTGGGTATGTTTTTAGAAAAAGCTACTTTTTCATCATTATTGATAAGACCGTCAACAAAAGGCTTCACAAATTATGTTTACAGCAATTTAAAATTGGTCTGAACTAGGGAACTAATTATAAGGCAGGTCTGAAACAGGGTATTGATTAAAGGGTCAGGTCATAAATACGGTATCGAATTTTTGGTCAGGTCATAAATAGGATAGGGAAAATTGCAGATTTTGGTTTTAAATAGGGTGAATGTTTTGGGAAGTGGGCCACACACCCCCACCCAATTTTTCTGGAAGTACCCCCCTCCCACCCCCCTGCTGGGAGTCTGAGAAGCGTAAAGATTGGGCACCCTTATTATTCAGTACAGTACTTATTGTTATTGACCTATGGTTTTGATGCTGTCCTGGGCATTACTAATGTAGATGTTTGACAAAGCATTCCTGGACATTCATTTCAATTTCTTTCTTTGGTACTGTAGCTTCCTTGGGAAGACGTGAAAGCAGAAATGGTTGGAGAGAAGGGTTTGGAGCCAAGTGTGGCAGATATGATCGGAGAATACGTAAAACTTAAGGGAGGAATGGAACTTGTGGAACTCCTGACAGCCGATGAAGCTCTTAGCAGCAACAAGAGTGCAAAAGCAGCGCTAGACGACATGAAACTTCTTCTTCAATATGTTGACTTGTTTGCGATTGCAGATAAGGTTAGTTCATCAAGCAAACTCGTCTCCAGATCGAGCGGTCCAGGTTCGAGCCCTGGC